AATGCAGACACCCATCGTACTCTTTCTTTGTACAATCCACATAACCATGCATTCTCGTGAAAGTTGTGCGCATCAATAGATTGGTTCCACCATTCTTCGAACTCTTCACGAGTAAAGGAATCATACACAATATTTTGCAACTTAAACTTTATAGTTTCATATTTCTTATACCTTCTTAACTTTTCAAGTAGTTTCTTCATTATATGCCACAAACACCACCTATGTCTTGTACCAGGGAAAACAATCTCAATTGCATTTTGCATGGCCTTATCTTGATAAGTGATAATTCCATTAGGAGCAAGATCCATGCATTCAAGCCAAGAACAAAATAGCCATACAAATGTCTCAGTGTCCTTATGAGAAATTAATCCGCAACCTAATAAAATCGAATGTCCATGATGATCAACCCCCACAAAAGCAGCAAATGGCATATCATACTTGTTTGTCAAATATATTGTGTCGAATGTGACAACATCACCGAATTCTTTATATGCAGCCCTACATCTAGCATCAACCCATAGCACATTCTGTAATCGACTCTCTTCATCTACATCAATCATGTACCGGAAATTTGAATTCTCCTTTTGCATTTTCATAAAATACTTAAGTACTGCCGAAGCATCTCCAACTCCAAGTCGTAGCCTTCTCACTTTTTCAATGTAGTTCCTACAATCTTTTTGTAGAAACGTCAAATTCTTTACACCTCCCGCCTCAATTGAACATGACTGAAAATTTTTACATGGTTTAATCCTAGCCACATCATTAACTTCAAGTCGCCTTTTCACATAAGGTTGTGTTGTTCAGTTAACCTTGAAATATCTTATTTTTATTGAACTTGTAAGATCATAGTTATGTTCAAGTACAACTGATTTAATTTCTCATTTGCATTCACCATTCAAAGCTGCATTAATCCGACTCTTACAATCTGTTTTGGCAATAGGTTATTTTTTCAAGGTATTTCTAGACTTACATCTCTCCTTCCCAAAACGAACATGCCACTATCACATATCTCATCTCTCTATCATCACCTTTTTTTGACGTACGTATCATTGCTTCAAATCCCATTTTGTTACCATACCGTTTGTAATACTTCACCACACTATCAACTGAATCAAACGTCATTCCAATATGAGGCTCGACTTCTTCCTCTGCACATTCGATATCTTCTAATTCATCACGTTTATTTTCCTGATCATTTAATAGTTTTATAATAGACAAAATTAGAATGTACTAATACAACACATCAAAAGAAACAATACGATACAATAAATTTAAAATTATGTTAACGAAAACGTTAAGGTTTCAAGCACAATTTACCTCAACATCATTGAAATGAGGCAAATTGGACTCTTCCATATTCTGTAATTTAATGCAAAACCAATACTAGTGTTCGTGTTCACGAATTTGATTAATAACAATCACCAACAAATATTCTCTATCAGATTTTTGCTATTGTAACATATATTCAATCCAAAATAGAATACCAAACTAAATAAATGCATAAGTTAAATAAAAACCAGTTAACAACCTCAACAAATCTTTTTAATCTGGACAAATTTTGATCTTCTTATCTCCCTTTCCACTGTAAACAATTGTTGGACAAAAAATTTATAGCTTTCATTCTTGTCACAGTAGCTAGAAAATGAGGAAGAAACGGCTGTTGAGGAAGAAACTCGAGAAGAATGCAGACGCGAAGAACAGACGGGAACGATGAAGCAGAAGCCAACGATAGGTATAAAATGGGTTCTTTCTTTTTTCTTTCGCTCGAAAAATTTTCACGTTGGTTTTTGGAGAAGTGTATTGGAGAAGCTAATGTTTTTTGGCAAATAAGTAAAAATTTTTAATTAAAATAACAATTTATTATATTATGGACGGTCATCCATATTATGTGGACGACCATCCTTTACATAAGAGACGATCGTCCATACATAATGGATAGGCATCCTTTCATTACGGACGCTCGTCCATACTTTAGGGATGTCCGTCCACAATTTATGGATGGGCGTCCAAAATTTTTATTAAATTTTTTAAAACAACATAATGGATGGGCGTCCATTCCTTACGGACGTCAGTCTACACGTAAGGGACATTCGTCCACAATTTATGGACGGGCATCCAAAATTTTTATTAAATTTTTTAAAACAACATAATGGACAGACATCCATTACTTATGGACGCCCGTCCACACGTAAGGGACGCTCATCCACCATTTATGGACGGGCGTATTAAATTTTTTTAAAACCACATTATGGACGGGCGTCTAAAGTTTTTTTTTTTAAATTTTATATTTACATTATGGACGGATGCCCCTTATTTGCGAGCGCCCGTCCAAAATTAAGGGACGGTCGTCCATAACTGATGAACGGTCGTCCCTAAATGTTTTTTAATTTTTAAAAACAATTGTTAATGGACGGGCGTCCATTAGCATATGAACTCCCGTCCAATATTTATGAACGGCAGTTCATAAGTAATTTTTGTTTAGATTTTTTATTACATTTACTGATGGACGGGTGTCCTTTAGATGGGGATGTTCGACGGGAGTCTATGTAAGTGAATGACTGTCCATATTTGATGAACAACCGTTCACTAGAAAAAAATTTAATAACGTCAAACATGTTTTGTGTGAGTCAAGGGACACGTAGGCCGGTACAAGATTTGGGTATAAGTATCCTGGTGTCCGTAGCATTATTGTTATATTTATTATTGAAGTTGACAGAAAATAAACAAATGAGATGATGGGTATGGAGAAGCAATCTATGTAACTTCATTTGGGATGGGAAGTAAACTATATTTATGATCTTCAAGCTTACTGGTTAGCGTGTAACGCGGTTGATGGAGAAAATGATGCGCAGAGCAGTATTGAAGAAACCTTGTTCTGTAAATTTCATTCATAAATTGCTTCGTCTTATACAATGACATTCAGTGGCTTTTTTCTAGAGATTTTGGATTATCAGATTTTGACGACAATTCAAACCGTGTTGTTGGGGAAGTTGACAAAGTCTTGTGCGTGTTCACTTGTTGCTAAGTTTATAATATGAAGAGAATATTAGATATGTATGTTTTTTAAATTTCTCATAATTATTAGATATTAAAAAACAAAAAGGGAGGCAACTCAAATTTAAAAACAAAATAGATTAAAATAATACAGAAAATATTTAATTAATTAGGTAAATATTGTGTAACTCCTCTGGTGGTTGGTGGACTGAAGTGGTTATTGCAAAATATTAAAAACTCCGCTTTGGTACGGAGGGATCCATGCTCCAATCCAAGTCCTCGTCTTTCGAGTCTGTTGGTGTCCGATGGTAAGGAGAGTAACAAGTAGAGCTACCACAACACGAAAAAAAGCACGACATGATAAGACATCATACACAAAAAAATGTGGTATAACACGGCTCATGATCATGCAGACTATGTCGTGGGCATTAAAAAAAGGCACGCGGACTAGCATAGTATGACACAAAAAAAAAAAAAAAAAAATTTCTAACTTCGTATTTGTAATTTATAATTATAACTTATAAACAATAAAAAGTATTAAAATTTAATTAATATTTTAGGATGTGTTTGATTTATTATTTTGGATAGGATTTTGGGAATAGTATTGGATAGTTGGATAGGGTTATGATTATGAGAATAGGATTTGCATATATGTGTTTGATAGAGTATTTTGACCTTGATATTTGTGTTGAAAATTTAATTAATATGTTTTTTTATAAATGATTTACTAATATAATATTTTGTTGCATTTTGTTAAAATAATGTATTATTATATATATAACTTATCAAGTTACATTTTAATAATACTAAATATTTTATTGGTAATTTTGTCACCCATAGATATTAGAAAACAAAAACTCATATTAATTTCAAGTACTAATCCAACTGTTTAAAAACACTGTATTAATACATATATGACAAAAGTACTAATTATCAACCCTTATAATCATTATTACACGTATACTCCATTAACAACTACGACATGGTTCACTGTACTGCCCACAGTGCATTCGTTATATTATCCCATACAGTTGTCTATAATACTTTGTTGCGATTGACTCGGTCCTTCTCCATTTCGGGCATATTCTGCCCCGTTTTGACGATCACAATATACTTTTCAAAGTTAAAAATGGTGGTGAACTGAGAAAGTTAAAAATGGTGAAGTGTTAAAGTGAGAAATGTCAGTGAAGAATAATGAAAAAGCTGAGAAAAATAAAAGCCAACGGTTAAAAAAAAAAAAGTGGGAAATGTCAATGAAGAGAAAGCTGAGAAAAATAAAAGCCAACGGTAAAAAAGAAAGTTAGAAAACTGTCAGGAAACATATTTTGTAGATTGGATTGTGCAAATAATAAAACAAACATTATTTGAAAAATCAGATCCAGAATATGGATAATAATACTGAACTTTTATTATATTTCATAATGATTATATAGTTTTTAATTAACATAAATACAAAATTCACTAAATATAATATATAAAATATTTTTATAATAATTATTAATAGTAAATCAAAATTACTTTAACTTATAAATATTAAAAAAATAATTTATAGGCCAACCCACAAAGCATGCGAGCAAACCCATAGCATGACCCACGGCACGACACAATATATAGCTGGCCGTGCCATGGGCCTTCAAATGTGGTAGGTCAACACAACACGACAAAGTATTAATTTATGTGGGCTTTGGCACGACACAACCTACGACATGACATGCTTCGAATTTTTAAGCCCGGAATAGCACGAATCAGCCCACCGCCAGCTCTAGTAAGAAGAAAGGACAGTAATCCTAGTAAAATCAAGAGCTGCTAATGACTTTATTTGGGTTTAATATAAAGTTCAACATTGTCTAACATATAAAATTAGAAACATATCTTATTACACTAAAATAAAAACTTGACAATGTACATTTAAGGAAAATAGAAATGATTGAGGAGAGAAAATCAAATTATCGTCGTTATCATCTCCTACTTCAACCATTAGACTGAGGCTTTCAGGGAATGAGGATTCATATATCATAGTCTTCATAGTCTTCATAGTCTTCATCGTCAGCTACATCTTCTCCATCAACCATTTGATTGAGGTTTTCAGCTACATCAACCATTTGAGTGACGTTTCCAGCTGCATCAACCATTTGACTGACGTTTCCGGCTACATCAACCATTTGACTGACGTTTCCGGCTACATCAACCATTTGACTGACGTTTTGAGGGAATGAGGATTCATAATAGTCTTCATCATCGTCTTCGGAGTTAATTGCATCAAGAATCACAATGAGGGCAATAATGAGTGCATAATCCATGTTGGGGTACACTGTCATCATGAAACGCTCCTTCCCAATCAAGATTCTTGGAGCCGTGCAATTCTTATGCAGCTGCATAAACAAGAAGAATTGAATTAAGCTTTAAACATGATCAGTAAAAGATGAGATAGACTGTGCAAAATACAAATTAAGTAATAAAAAAATCTTAATGGAATAAAATATTGATGTTCTTACTTTGGCAACAATTGTGGAGGACTCTCCGGCATAAATAACAGAAGATCGTTCCAGCCAATTTCCTCTGATCCTGAAATTACAAAGACTCTCCTCTGTATTTTTTGCTAAGAACACATTAACGTTGTGCTTTGATTGGAACAAGGAGGCTCGTTTAGCACTAAATATTAGAGCACTGGATTCTATACTCTCTCCCCGGAAAACTTGCCATCTCTTATGAATTGACCTTATCTGTATAAAAGAAGAGAAATTAACTGGTTGAAGATAGTGAATAACTCAAATCCTTACTGATTGAATATACATACATACATACATACATACATACATACACATACAATGGAAATTAACCGGAAAAGAGATGCTATCAAATTATCAAGCACAAGACCTTATCTCTTAGAGTGACAATAGGATTTCCATAAGCATCGATTAAAACGTGGCGATCGTGAAAGATTGAGTCTGCAGCTTTCAATTTAAAAAGGATGTTGCCATTGATATCTTGCACAACAAAGTTTCCATCTGTTATGGTCTTGACCTTTCTCACTATTGCAAGTTGAACAGGATAAGTATGAGCGCAAAACTGAGGGCTTATAATGGAAAAGGGATTAGCTACTGGTGGATGAGTACTACGGGAATGTGCCATTGAAAGAAAGGTGATGAAGAATCTTTGATATGATTTTGGGATGAGTAATTCTTCAGTCTAGCTTCTTTTATGTACATACATGACCAAGGGCATGTAATACGCGGAAATATAGACTAACAAAGAACAAGTGGTGATGACTGAAGTGAAGAATTTTCCAAGAAAGCAAAATCATGACTTGACTTTAAAGTCTTCTCAAAATTTAATTTATTTAATTATTTCCACTAAAGCTTTTCTTTAGATTAATAGGAATATGATTGGTGATGTTGTCACGATCATCTTCTGAGATGGGGAAAGTACTGCAGGGTAGTCTGGTAGATATGAGATTAAAATTAGAATTTAACAAGTTAATGCACAATTGTTTAAACAGTCGAATGAAATTAAAATTAGAATTTAACAAGTTGATGCACAATTTTTTAACCAGTCACATGAAATTAAAATTAGAATTTGACAAGTTGATGTACAATTGTTTAATCAGTCACATGAAAAGGCCTTTCAAAGAAGAAAGGAGCATGTCAGAGATGCCCAATCGACCTTGGAGGGATTAGATAGGGTGTGTGTGAGGTTACGAATAATCAACTAGGAACATACCAGAGAACAAATAATGGATGGGAAAAAAACGATTTTTAAAGTGGTTTGGCGAGTTAGAATCAAGCTTATGTTTATTGTTATTAGAGGTGGGTATTTGGGACTGAGTCCAAAAACCCGGTCCTAGGAGGCTCGGTCCCTCCATTGGGCCCTCTTTCAAGGCCCAGGCCTGGGACCAGGCCCAAATTTTTTTAAATATTTTCATTTTAGTCCTTTGTACAATTACTAAAACCCTCTATAAATTTTGAAATAAACATAAATTATAAGGGTTAAAAGAAAAAGAAAATTTTATAAAATTTATAAAAGAAAAATTTTTTTTACTTTTCTTTATAACCGTTGGCAGCAGCCAGCCAACGGTTATATAACCATGCCTCTCATTTTATTTTGATATTATCTCTATTTATATTTTATTTATTCTTTTATATGTTTTCTCCATGTAATATTTCTATTTTCTTTTCATTTACCATGGATTTTTTAAATTAAAAATCTTAATATAGATATATATATATTTTTTTTTTTAATTTAAGTGAAGTTTCATTAATGTTTATGCAATATGATATCATATTCAAATAATTAACTAGTATTTTGCACGAATTATTGAGGGCTTATTATCAAGGAAAGAAAAATTTATTATGCATAAATTATTTCAATCTATTTTTGTGAGATTTTCCCGTTATTAATTATTATTAAAAAATATTAAATAAATTTTTAATAAAAAAATAATTATTTTGTCTTTCTATATTCTTTTCATTATAATACTTCATATGAATCAATATCATTCATAAACACACTTTATTGATTTAACTTATGAGTTATTTCAAATACAAAACAATTTTTTAAGCTTATTATAAATAAACATAGATAAGTTTAATAACTTTTCCCACCCAAATAATGCTTAATGACACTTTCTCACCCACAAACTTTTAAAATATCATTTATTACCTAAATTTATATTTCGACGGCGAATAAAGAGCAAACTTAGTACAGGCTTTTAAACTTTTAAAGAGTCCCAGCCGATGAGACTAAAAAAATATTTTACAAATGAATTACTATCGTGGTTTGCTCGACAAGTGTGGGATTCGTGTTTTTAGAGCCACCTGCTTGGCAAATAGTCCTATCAAATTGTAGGGTCCAAGGGTTTAGGGCTTAGTTTAACATCATATACAGTTGGGCCTTTTTCTTTGTATGAGAACTGTACAATGGAAGTGGAGTGGAACGTTCATGAGAGACATCAGACCCTGATGCAGACCTCCTCAAAGATCGAGCAAGTGGACATATATGGAATATGGCAGAAGTAGCAGCTCCAGTTTGTACATACATGAACCAATGAGCTGAATTGCTACCTACAAGTGGACCTGTCCTTATACGATGAAAGAGAAACGGACATGGATACTCTTCAATGGTCGAACCAACATGAAAGTCGATTCTCCATTGTAGCCTAAATCACGTGACATTTTATCTGTGCTAGTTTCTACAATTGCATCTAAGTCAACATTTTCAACGAGTGGTCGGATTGTTGAAGACATGAGATGTTCTTTAACCGATGAGATGATTGAAGTGATAACGTGTTTACGGGATTGGACTCATGCAGAAAGAAGACTACAACAACATCCTGAAGATCTTGAACTACTCGAACTCTTTAGGATATAGATTGAATGATGTAAATATTATTGACGATGAAGATAAATATTTAATAAAAAATTATTTAATTGTTTTTGTGAAGCGTGAATGTGTGAAATGTGAATATTACATTTATATTAATTAACTATTAATATAAAAAAAGATCATGGGGGAAAATAAATTTTCCAGCCCATAAGACCGGTCCAGGTCCTAAAATTGTCATGGTCTGGGACCGACTGGTCCCATTTGGACCAGTCCCAAACGGGCCCAAGCTCGGGCCTGCTTGGGACTGGTCCTGACCAACTCTAACCGTTATGCTATTGCTTTGTATTTGTCTTACACTCAAATTGATTATGAAAAATATGTAATAACAAGGACAAACTCTCTCTAAGTGGTCTTCTATTCTTGGTGAATAGTCAATCCCCCCAGAACGAAGGTATCCGCTATCTAGCTAGCTTATCTTGGCTATTTTATGTTAATTGATGTTGGTTTACTTGGAGTTATTTTACAGAGTCAAAAATTATGAAGGATGCTTTGATGTCTTGCTTAACAAATTACCATAAACCATGGTCATAACGTTCTCTGTGGATAAAATTTTGTGCATTAAAATGCCTATAAATTAACTGAAACGCTAGCTTATTGCAACTGTAGGTGCGTAAATATTGTTAAATGGTCATCGAGAGTAGTTTATTGAAAAATTACACTTTATTTATTTATTTTTATGAGAAATTCGTTTTAAGGCTCTTATTATACGAGGGCTTGTCAGATATACGGTTGTATTATTAGAAGTTGACAAAAAAATAACAAATTTATATGGGTGAGGAGAAGTTTCACAGAGACCAAGCCATCCAAAGCAATATATGTAACTTATTAATTTGTAAGCAATATAAGATACTGTTTATTCAAGTTAAGTACTTCCACAAACTTTCATTCTGTTTTTTTTTTTTTTTTTTTTTTTTTTTTGAGATGTGGAATTGAACATGGACCGTGCACATATCCATAACTAGTATTTAAACATGGATAAAGAAATTTATAAAGATTTTTTGTATAAAGTGATGTAGCAAAAAATGATTAAAAGTGTTGATATGATGAGTTTGACTTTTTATATTCACTCTTCCATTCATCTCCTACCACATCACTTTGTACAAGAAATCTTCGTAAATTTTTTTGTACATCTAGCATTATTGATCCACAATATCCTTAGTCTGTCTTAACCATCTAGACTATTCACGGAGGAGTTTGGTTGCTGATGATGTTTAAGTGTGAATCCTTTCTAAGTATAATTTAATAATTTTGGATAACAAAGTGATATTTTAAAAATCTACGGGTGAAAAAGTGTCATTAAATCATTATTTAGGTGGAAAAAAGTCGTTTACTCCTAAACTAATCACTGAACAAGGCAAAAGAAACAGAGCAATGCTATAGTTACCGAAGAGTACACACTGAATTCATGCACTGAATGACATGGTACCATCATATTTTCTTAAAAAAAGAAATTCATAATTAATCAACGGTTAAGATGATATCACGTTATTCGGTGCATGAATTCAATGCACATTCTTCGGTAACTGTATTATTTCCGAAAGGAAAATACAAAGAATTTAGGAAATAAAATAATTAACCGCCAAATTCACCAGGTACGCCAAATAGTCCAAGTACTAGATCTAGGAATACATGATGATGATCATCATCATCTTCATCTTCATTGGAAACTCCGGAGTAAATTGCATCAAGAATCATAATAAGAGAAACAATGAATGCATAATCCACGTTAGGGTTCACTGTCACCATGAAAATCTGCTTTCCATTCAACAGATTTTGAGCGATTTGCTTCATATGCAACTGCATTTCCCAAAAGCAGTAAAATTGGTTGCTGTCCAACTGAAAACTTAGATTAGGAATCAAGGTATTAAATTTCTTTACCTGTGCAACAACTGTGGATTACTCTCCAGCATAAATAACAGAAGATCGTTCCAGCCAATTTCCTCTAACCTTGAAATCACAAACATTGTCCTCAGTGTTGTTTGCTAAGAACACATTTAACTTAGGCTTTGTAATTGATTGCAACATTGAGGATCGTTTAACACTAAATATTAGATTTCTGGACCCTTCTACTATATCCCCTGAAAACTTGCCATCTTTCATGAGCTGTTCTTATATGTATAAACCAAAATAAATCAACCATTGCAGAAAACAGTGATGAAGTGATATTCGTACAGGCAGATACAAAAAATAGTGATACAAGACCTTCTCTCTTAGAGTGACAATGGGGTTTCCAGCAGAGTCGATTAAAATGCGGCCAGAGCTCGACTTCTTAACTTCAATTTGAAATGGATGTTGACATTCATATCTTGCACAACAAATTTTCCATCGGTTATGGTCTTAAGCTTTTTATCTATTGCAAGCTCAACCGGACAAGGATGAGCACAAAACTGAGGGCTTATAATTGAAAAGGGATTAGCTACTGGTGGAGAAGTATAAGCGAAATGTGCCATTGAAAGAGAGGTGATCAAGGAATATCTTATACAGCAAACTAACAAACAAAACAAAAATCGGATGAAGAATTTTCGAAGTGACTAGTAATGGAAAGCCTTTTGATACTTGTTTATTACAAGTTAAGTACTTCACAAATTTTCATTCTATTTCTCTAAAGCCTTATCTAGATTTGAATTGGTTAAAGGGATTTAATTGGCGAGTAGCCAGACACTGAACGAACACACCTTACCGAATTGAATCCAGTCAAGTGGGAGGCATGAGAAAATGGGGAGGATATGCACATTCCAAGATTTATAATTCGAAGTGAAGCCGAAAGGCGAGAAGAGAATTGAACAGTACCGTTGGCG